TTTCCAACTGGTTATCCCAGATATTAGGGCAACCTCAATTGCCAGCCCCTAACACCTAATTTGTAAACATATCATACACACACACACACACACACACACACACACACACACACACACACCCCCAATGATTACTACCACTGTCCCTGCTAATATCTTCATATGTTGGTGCTCATCTACTCCTGACATGAGATCTATTTTGCTAACACTTGGTACTTTGAGAGAATTTGTGGTTTCAGAAATAAAACCTGTGAAAATAAAGAACAGTTTAAGGTAGATGACCCTGAATAAATACCCAGATAAGTTTGGCCTGCTTAGTGGTAGCCTTTAAACTTCCCTTTTTCTGCCACCTGAAATTCTATCAAATAGAGATATGTTTGGAATAAATGTAGAACTTGTTTTTTTTTTTAAAGGTAAAAGGGTTAAATCATTCATACACTATAGTTAAATAAGATTACTTTTCTCAGAGCACTGGATTTGGAGTTTAAGTCTGGACAAGAATATAGACCTGGCTACTGTGTGGCCTTGAGCAATTACTTCAATCTCTCAGAACTCCAATTTCCTGACTGGTAAAAGTAAGATCATCTCTAAGGTCCCTTTCAGCTCTCAATCTTTTGATCCCAATAATCCCTGCAATCAGATACACTTAAGTAAAAGTAGTTTTAACTGAATAGAAATATGTGGTGAAAATTTTTTGATGTATGAAAGACTAAGAGGAGATAATAGGCCTAAAAGTGAAGCTTTAGGCAACTAGAGAAATATGGCGTAGGAGATAGGTGCAGTGTAAAAAAGTTCCTCCATGCAACCAAAAGAACATTTTCATTACTAGGCTATTTTATTTTCATCTAAAGAGAACTAGGTGAATTTAGTTAAGAAGGATTTTAAGTTAAACCTTTTCAAATTGTATGAGGGTTTAGTAACTGAAATCATCACAGGACAGACTCAACTGGGGAGGTCTGGCAAAATGAAGGACTCTCCATTATCACATTGCTGTAGAAAAAGGAAACACAGCAGTGCCAACTACACTTGTAGAAGGTAAATTTGCTGATACAGCCACAGTTCTTTCCCGGCAACAGAGACACTAACTTCTTTTGGAAACTGAACCACATTTTCCTACATTATCTCACACTACCCTATAATAGTTTAAAAACAACAACAACAACTGTATTTTACATGAAAAGCACATCTTGTGAGCTAAAGTTTGAAAGGTGTGAGAGGGACCTCAGGGAGCAAGAGCGTTTGTAGTACCTGTGTAGTAGGGCCCTAGCCATGGCTCAGGGACAGAAAGGAGTGCCTGAGGTCAGACTCCCAGACAGAGATTACAAACAACAGTACATAAAGCCTGAAGCTGGAAGCATCATCCCCCATATCTTGGGACTAGAACCTGGCTGTAATAATAAGACATTAAAATAATAATAATAATAATAATTATGATTATGACAATAACAATAACAATAAGAAAGCAAAGAACCCAACCACAGATAGCTATTATGGGGACAGAGAAGAAACAGGTTCATACTCAGAAGATAGTGAAGCTAAAAAAATAAACAACTACTCCTACTTCAAAGAAAAATGTCAAATGGTCATAAGCCCAAAGAACTCTTGGAAGAGCTTAAAAAGGACTTTAAAAGCTCCAGCCTTGGAGTCAGGAGGACCTGAGTTCAAATCGAGGCTCAGACACTTGACACTTCTAGTTGTGTGACCCTGAGCAAGTCACTTAACCCCAATTGCCTCACCTAAAACAAACAAAAACAAACAAAAAAAGATTTTAAAATCAACTGTGGTTGAAGAAAAAAAAATAACTGCAATCTAAGAAAAGTTTGAAAAGAAAGTCAACCAACTGGAAAGAAATCCAAAAACTTAAGGAAGAAAATAATGCCTTTAAAAACTAGAATTGGGCAAGGGAAGGCTAATAATGTTTTTTTTTTTTTAAAGGCAATTGGGGTTAAGTGATTTGCCCAGGGTCACACAGCTAATAAGCATCCAGTGTTTGGTCTGAGGCCGGATTTGATCTCAGGTCCTCCTGACTTCAGGACCGGTGCTCGCTCCACTGTGCCACCTAGCTGCCCCGAAAGCTAATAATGTTTTAAGTCACCAAGAAATCATTTTAAAAATCAAAAGAATGAAAAAATAGAAAAGAATGCCAAACATCTCATTAGAAAACTGATCTGGAGAATGTGTTGAGAGAATTCATTGAGGACCCCTACTCAAATATTTGTTATTACAATTTTATAAGGGGTAATGATTGTTAATAATTATTTTAATATATTCATCTAGTAATACATATCCAGTCAATCACCTAAAAGTAGGTATAAGAATAATCAATGTATTAATCCATACTTTGTATAAGTCACATAGGAATACAGATTCTAATAAAAGGGTCCAAATTTTAAAATAATGTTCATTACTTGTTTAATAGCCATGAAGCTCACTTGTGCAACCACAAGAATGTTGACAAAGATATCTCCATTCTGTAGATGTAAATTAGGCACATTAGAGATAGGGGAAATGAGGGAAGAAGGACAAATAGTGAGGAAAAATAGAATGGAGGGAAATAACATAATGAGTGACTACAACTCTGAACGGGAATGGGATGAACTCACCCATAAAATGGAGAGCAGAGCGGATCAAAAATCAGAATCTGACACTATGCCGTTTACAAGAAACACAATTAAACAATTAAAAAAGGGTAAAGAAAGTGGTTGAGCAGTACCAGATCTTAAACTATGTTAAAAGGTAGCAATAATCAATCTGGTATTGGCTAAGAAATAGAAAGGCAAATCAGTGGAAGAGAACACACATATGATACAGAGTGGTAAATGATTATAGTAAAAACTTGTGTTAGACAAATGTAAAGATGGAAGTTTTGGAGATAAAAATTCATTATTTGGTAAAAAAAAAACTGTTGGGAAACTTGGAAAGCAGTTTGGCAGAAACTGAGTAAAGACTAATATCTTAAACCATTTACCAAGACAAGGTCAAAATGGATACATAACCTAGATATAAAGGGAGATATATCACAAAGAAAATTAAAAGAACATGGAACATTACCTATCAGACTTATGGATAGGAGAACAACTTATGAATAAACAAGAGATCAAGAGCACCGTGAGGCATAAAATGGATAATTTTGATTACATTTAATTAAATAGGTTTTGTACAAATAAAACCAATGTAGCCAATATTAGAAGCGAAGCAGAAAACCAGGGGAAAATTTTTATAGACAATCTCTCAGATAAAGGTCTTATTTCTCATATATAAAAAACTGTCAAATTTATAAAGAATATGAGTCATTCCCCAATTGATAAATGGTCAAAGGATATGGGGCAGTTTTCAGAGGAAGAAATCAAAACTATATATAGTCATATGAAAAAATGCTCTAAATCATTACTGATTAAAGGAATGCAAATTAAGAAAAACTTTGAGATATCATCTTATACCTATCAAATTGGCTAATATAATAGATGTAGTACAATTGGCAAATGGCTAAACAAGTTGTAGTATGCAATTGTGACGGAATACTACTGTGCTTGTTGATTTTAGAAAAAGATGGAAAGACCTGCATGAAATAATGAAAAGTGAAATGAGCAGTACCAATAGAACATTGTACATAGTAACAGAAATATGGTCCTAAGAACAACTCTGAATGATTACTTCATCTTGAGTATCATATATACTAAAATCAACTACAAAGACCCTATGAAAGGAGATGCTATCCAGCTCCAGAGAAAGAACTGATAAATAGAAGTAGGCATATGTGGCTTTACATTATTTTATGCACACATTTATGTGTGTGTATATATACGTGTGTGTTTGTGTGTGTATGTGTATATACGTAAAAATATATACATATATTTTGTGTGTGTGTGTGTTTGTGTTTAATTGTAGTCTTCTCTAGGACAGGCTGGGAGAGAGGGGGAGAAAAAACAAAAAGAAGCACATCTTAATGTTACTAGTCATTAAATGACCAAGTATATTGGTTTGGATCATTAGAAATGCAGAACTGAGTAAAAGTTTAATTCTAAAAATAGAATTGAGACTCTAAAATACTACAAGACTATTCTTAAGTTTCCTCATCTGTAAAACTGGGATGATAACAGCACCTACTTCCCAGAGTTGTTGTGAGGTTCAAATGAGATAATAATCATAAAGCCTTAGCACAGTGGCTGTCACACAGTAAGCACTATATAAATGTTGGCTATGATAATGATTATGACCACTGAGATATGCTCATGTATGAGGAAATCTGAATTTAAACATGGTGCCCTCCTAAATTATTTAACTAGATTCCAAAATGTGAAACAACTCAATTTTTAGTTCAATGACATTTGTGTTGAATGTTTTTAAATAAAAAGACAATAGGCCAAGTATTTTTTTTCTAATTAGAGAACTTCATTAAAAGGAAAATCATTTTAGTTTAAAAAAAAAATCACTTTCAAGAACTTTGACCACGTGACTTCTAGTAAGGATAAGTTCTGATACATTGTAGTTAATTAAATTTAGTTGAGGAAAGGTTTTATTCCTTCCCTCCAGAATGAACTAAAATTTGAAAACTACCTAAAAGGTTTAAAATCACAGATAAATGCTATTTTGGCACCTCAATTTTTACTTGTATGTAATAAAATTTTTAAAGAGTCGGTTCAATGAGAAGTTTTCAAACTGATGCAATTATTTATTTTTTAAAAATACAAATCATATGTAGATTAGAAGAACCAAGAAACATGTTTTTTTCAGGTCTTCTACCCAGGCTATATCAACAACTAATTTTTAATTTTAAAAGATAAAATTAGATAAGATGAAATATAGAGTTCTATAAAATCTAAAGCACTATAATTTGTGAGCTAGTATTATTATTCCGCAAACATTATTATGGGATAATTACTACACAGTTTTCACTATTAGGTTTATTTTCAAGCATCATTTCTCTAATTCTGTGAGCCAACAACAGAAAGTTCAGATTGCATCTCTAAAATTATCAATTAGGCTACAATATACGATATTACCTTTGGTTTAGAATGGAAGGTTGATCTATATTCCATCCACCTCCACCTTCAGTAAGCCTGGTCACCTGCTTTGTCAATTTATTTGAAATGTCTTCGCATTTGTTCATAAGTCTTATAACTACATCTCTTTCTTGAATCAATGTTTTACAGTGCCATATTAAATCTTCTGACAACCCATTTGTTTTGCACATTTTTGTGAACTGTGGGGGGAAATAAGAGAAAATAATTCAACAGTACAGCTTGAGCACTATAAGAAATGTGAATTCTATTTTGTTTCCCTCACCAGGAATAACAAAGTACTTTTTGTACTTTTATTAGTTTCAGCTTTCATTATGTCCTAAAGTACAATGACGGATTTTCTCAAGACTTACAAAAACTCCTATCCTAAACTTTCAGCTAAACTTTAGTCCTTCTATTTCCATTCTGCTCAAGACACATTTACTTATATATACAACCGTCATATCAAATTCAACATGTCCAAAAAGGAACTCTTCCCTCAAAACAGGCTTCCCCATTGACTTCTCCATGTCATTCTTTGATTTTTCAAGGCCTCTGTGATTTTGTATCACCTTACTGGTTCAACCTAATTTCCTTTCACTCAACACAAATGCTCTTCTCTAACAACTCTGCTTACTGTATACCCCACATAACACATTCCCATGCTCCCGCTGTTCCCTACTGAATGACCTTTCCCCTTCTCTGCTTACAAACTAAGCTAAATCCATTCATCTTTCAAGGCCCAACTGAAGCTCCACTGCCTCCATAAAGCCTTCCAGCCTATAATGATTTGTCTATTATGAGTTCCTAAAGCCTTTATTGTATATACTAAGACACCTAGCTTCATGTTAAGATTTATTTCTCTAACTAAATTAAAATTTCTCCACAAGAACCAGCAAAATACATTCACATCTAACATCCAGCCTAATTTGTCTAAGGAGAAAAAATGCATAAGGTAAAGGAACAGAATTTGAAATCGAGTTATCAGTTTCTGCACGGGTAAAAACAAATGGGCTATCCCTTGGAAATAAAGAAGCTTTTCAAGACTAAAGACTATTTATTGTATTTCATATCACCCAAGAATAAATTTGTGCTGAATTAAACACAGAAAATACTGAGCATCTCAATAACAAAAATACTGACTGAATGACTTAGGTTAATGCTCACATCAAATCCTACTAACTAGAAACATATCAAAGGGCAAAAGTATTTTAATTTTAAAAGAATTCACACCTTTTCAACTAACATAAGCCTTGAGGAATTCAGAATTATTCAACAGTCAAAACAGCTACTTTGACCTTCCTCCTACACCTCTTTTTCTAAGGGAAAATTACATGACTAAAAGCAAAAACAAAAAGCTCAAATTAACTATATAAATTGATGAAAGGAGGACAAAAGTAGGACAAAAATGCAAAGTGAGATCATGCTAATAAATTTGATATATCTGAATTTCACATGTTTTGTTGCATGTTGCATGCAAAAGTTAGTACATTTGTGTGCTGATATGTCTAAGTAAACAAGAAAGTCTTTCAAACCGAAAAATAATTTTTCACTCAAAATTAGCCTAAGTTGAACTTTAATTCGTTGAGTTTGCTAGTTTCTTCCCTACTGCTGCATGGAACTCTAACATCTATGCTGTGAATAGATCATGATTGTTCATTAATCTTAAATTAGATTCATTCTTCCTTTCAATCTATTACATTTTGCTTTCATGTTGATAAGATAGCTTTCAAATGTGCTACAATATGGATCAATTTAATAGTAAAAATGATAAACCATTCAATAATATAACATAAGCTGTTTTACCAAGATAACATTTGAATCTGTGTTTGTTTAAATGAAAAAAATTGGACACAAATTCAAAAAAATTCCTTTTACAAGAAAAGTACATACTTCATTTTTAATAGATGATGAAAAACATATAAAAGCTAAATGAGATTTATTAGATCCTGCATGTAGATACCTGCAAAAAAATTTCTGAGCAACTTAGCTGAAAAAAAAAATATATGTATATATATATGTATATATATATATATAAAGAACATTATTATGATATAAAATTTAAAAAGACCTAAAAGTGGCTTGATTGCCAAGAATCTTGGTTGGCAAAAATGAAAATCTTACAATCTATAAATGCACAAGTGAAAGCAAAACGAAACCATCTGTTGCGACAAAAACATTGTGATTCACGTCCGCCCATTTAACACATTCCTCCAAGCAATAACAAGAAGAACATTAGCAGGTTAGAGTAATCCATGATCATGAAATGGCCAAGTTCATGCAGAAGTTCAAATGACAGAATTTTAATGTCTCAGAACATATTTATTAAGCATATTATCCTTATGAAAATATATTTGGCAGCCATTTTAAACATGAAAATCTACTATAAAGAACTGAGAGATGACCATTATTAGCACCAGTGAAATCAGATGCATTAAGTGGTATAGTTGTAAAAACGCTGGACTGGAAACAAAGTCAAAACATTGCAGTCCTAGTCCAAAACTCTCTAACTACTTGTTTGAACACTTAACCTTTGATTTTCCTCTGAAAACTGTGGCTAGATTGGATCCCTATTAGTTCTAAAATTCTACGGTTTTGTGTTTAAACATATTAACCCATATAACTCCTTCCAGCTCCAAATTAGAAGTATTACTGTGAAGAAAAAAAAAAACACAACTGCAACACAACTTCATTTAACTTTTAAGGCTGAAAAGACACAGCTGTAACATCAAGTAACTGAAATACCCATTTTTTGCCACAAAGTGTCACTATTTCTACACAAATTATCAAGTATCTCTAAGAAAGAAATGTTCTTTAAAAATATGGTCCTTTCTCAAAACTTTTACTCCAGCGCTAAACGAATATAATAGTACTCATGACTCCAGAACAAAATAACTACATAGTCTCATTGAGAAAAGGGACTTTTGGTTGTATATGAGTCCATAGCAAATGCAGATATGTGGTTGGGCTTAGTAAATTTGTGCTCAATTTCAATTCAACTTGGTACACGTGAAGTACACAGTACAAAGTGAGTCAAACAAGTTACTGAAGCTGGCCCTGCTGTTTTACCAAATGCTTCATCCAAGACTCAAAGCACTTTGGTCAAAAGAGCAGACCACTAAACAAACATATGAAAAGTTATTAAACTGAGCTAATCACTAGTTATCTCTTGTTAAAAGACATTTAACATGATTATATTCCTACTGAACTCCAAACAAATGTTTGACAGTGGTTTAAAAGAAATCTAATATTAAAATTATGGTTCTATTAAGTTAACATAACATTTTAATTTATAAAAAAAATGTGAACCAACATTCTGGATACAGTTCCAAAGCAAACTTATTTTAAAATATTGACAAATATATTAAATGCACTGAAAATGCTTTATATAACTTAGCACCTTTCAAAATATCCTTATTAGTTCATAAATCCTCATAAAAGAGCAACAACCAAGAACATAGTGTGTTATTCTGCAGAGAAAGCTAGAAAAACTCAAGTTAAGCACCATGGACAAAATTGGTAGAGCTTTAAAAATACTACTGCTCATTTCCAATGAAATTATCTAAGCCCTATTACAATAAAGATGTGTTCATTAGGGATTTTATTAAATAAATTTGTAATAATGATTTAAAACTCAAATTTACCAAAAAAAAAAAACTTCCATCTAAATTTTGCCTTGTGGTAAAATGGTTTAAAATTCTTTGACACATACATTGCTTTGTTTTCATTTAAATGAGTACTGAGACAAAAGAAATTCAGCTTTCAAAACTATGAAAAATTTATCTTTGGTGGTACATCATCATAAAAAAGGCACCTAAATATTATGTAGACACTAAAATGAATTATTGATTTTGGGGAAGATAGTAAACCAGTGCAATTTTTAAAAAATCATTAAAACAAATATGCATCTTATTGTCGTGTCTTATTTTCTCCAACAAAGAGCCTACAGTTTGTCATTTTAAAAAATGAGCTGTTCTACATGATCTACATGTCTCTGCTAGCTTAAAATTTCATGATTTTGAGAACTATTTTGAGCTATAATCAATGAAGGGGATATTGAGATAGTATATAATCCATAAGTTTTTTAAAAATGAGATATAGGCCAATGAGTTTTGCAAAATCTATACAAAAAATTAATATAATACATTAATTTAAATTTTTACTTAAAAATGTGTATTAAGAAGCAGTAAAAGGGGAACAGTATACACACACAAATATGAAACAGAAGGATAAAAATAATTTTCTGAGAACCTAATGAAGTATTACAATTTTAAGGGTCTGCCAGATTTCGAAATGACCAGTACTTAGTTTCAGTGATATCTTTTAGTAATAAGAAAAAAAATATTGCATTGAAATGAACTGCTTTCTACTATTTACCGAAACAGAAATGATTCAAGCATGAAATCAAACTATAGGTACTGTTTTAATCAACATTCATAATAAAGTTCTGGCCTCTATATATCTTCATGGCAACTATGGAGTAGGAGTGACAAGCTGCTTTGCCACCCTCCTTTTTATAAATAATAAAATATAAGATTTAAAGCTGGAAGAGGATCTTTATGCTGAACTTAAAACAAAATTTTTTTACAGGGATTAAGAGGAGCTATAAGAAAGGGGGTCAAGAGAAAGGAAAGCCAGACTTTTGATTTTGTTGGTGTAGGGATCTGCCTTTATAAATAAGGGCTGGTAATTCTCCAAACTACCACTCTACAAAAACTTGCATGGGAGCACCAAGAGACCAAGGTAACTTGCCCTGGGTCACACAAACAGCTCTCTATCTACTATGCCAATCTGGCTCTCATTAGAAAAGCCTTACATTAGTTTACATTTCTCTTAAAGAAAGCATGTGGTACACTGGACAGAGAGGCAGACACGAGTCAGGAAGCCCTAGGTTCAGAACTTTCAAGCCATACAATATGAGCTCTCTCTGTGCTTTCTATATGCTTGAGTTACAGATTGTTTACCTGCACTGGAAGTAGCCCATGTACTGAACTGAATTCAGTCCCAACTAAAACAAACAAAAAATTTCTTGTTGATTTTATTAGATTAAATTGTTCTATGAAAGTTCAATAATGAGCTAAATTTTTCAACTTTCCTATGGCGGTTCTGAAAGTTCTAAACAAAGCAGAACCCCTTAGATTTTCACCCATTGCTTTCTACAATATGATGTGTCTAAATCCAGAAATTGTAACATTTAACTTTAATAATTATATATGTATAAATCATCATTAACACTTCTGCCCTGACTTTGGTCAGATAAGAGTATCATCCTTTCAAGCATAATGTCAATTTTTAATTACCTTAATCATGAAATTAGGAAAGAAAATCACAATCTAAGTAGATATCTAATATATAATATACCCTTTGTATTTAATTTTTTAAACGGGGAAAATATTACAGAGAATTTTAAAGCATCACTTAATTGTCTTGCACCATCAATATTGCCAATTAGTTGGTAAGAAAAAGATGCTTTCTACTTTTGGATTGTTGTGTATCTTTTAAGTACACAACAGTAACTGGCATGTCCACATCTGCCGCAAAAGTACAATTTATTTTTCTGTACTGGTATATTTGGGCATGTGGCTACAACAACTAAACATATGGGTGCTGACAATTGCCTTCTTTATTAAATAATGAATAACGGCCTGGCAAGCCCAAGCAACTTAGGTCTATAATAACCTATTACTCCCAAGAAAAAGAAAACAGCAAAGGAGAGGAAAGAGAGCCCTTTAGCAAATACTTTTGTAAAGAAATCACTCAGGCAAAACCAAACAAGTTTTGAAAGGACCTGCTTTGACAGATGTTCTGTTCAAAAGCTAAGGCTCCAGGCAAAACGAATTTCATTATGAAATACTTGTAATGATGCGTTTCTGTATTTTTCAAATACATTTTTTACTATTTTTCATTTTTTCAACATAAATAATCACTTTTCCTCTTAAAGCCCCTCAGAATACTTGTGCTCACACAGATCAGACATAATTATTAGTTATAACTTTTGCTTTCCATCTTAGAAAATAAAGTTTTATTTCTTTTTTAAAAAATTTCAATATTATTATAAGACAATAAGTTTTTACTGAATCATTTGTATTGCTGTACAGGCCTAAAAAATAAATGTTATGGGACTCCAAACTCTCACAAAAATTAAAGCAAAACCTAACATAAGCCTTAAGATTTCTTTTTATGCATTCTGCTTGAATAAGACTTGAAGACATTTTGCTGAAATACATGAAACTCAAAAGCAGATACAATGTATAAGACACATGAAAAAGAAAAGAGACTTCAGAAAATGAACATGTAAAGTGTACTTACCAGTGGTTATGTCTTCTCCTCAACTAAAGTTTCAATTCTAGACTTTTCACATGCTTTTTTTTAATCTTTTGAATTAAAAAAACACTGAAGCTTGTTAGACTCCATTAAATGGCTGCATTGTTTAACCAGGAAAAACATGTTAAAGATTGAGTTGCTTTACAAAGAAAAATTAAACAAACAATTGCTTCTTTTGTGTTGAAGCTTGAAACACTTAGGCTGGTATTTGGAATCATGGAGATCCCCTGGGTGTTGTTGCTGCTCCTCAAGAAATTGCTGTAAAAATTCTGCCACATTCTTGCCTTCTGTATGGTTCCATAGCAAAAACAGATCAGAACAGGCTAGCAAACAACTCCTTCCTAAATGTAAGCTCTAATTTCTTCTTCTGCAGTGAAAAGAACCAAGTTTCTATGCAAAAGAATGAGTGACAGTATTGCTGGCCAATCAGCTTAGGTTTTTCAGGAAAATCACCCCTTAATTCATTCAAAAATAGGTCATATGACACTATTTGAAATGCTATTGGCTTAAAACAAATGTAGTGTGTGAATCTACTCAGGATAAGGCCACCCATCTATGCTTTTCTGGGCTGAAGATACCTTGACTATAAATGCACTGTGAATAAAAAAAAAAAAAAAGGTAGGAAAAAAAAGAATGTAGACTTACCAGAGCTTCCCAACTGTTAAAGGGCCGGAGCTCTGTTATCTTCTGAGCCTTTTTCTGAGAACACTGGGGAATCAAAGTGAGTTCACCAATTGAAGCCCCTTGCAGGAAGTGAAGTATTTTACCTTTGTAGCCATCCTCCATCACCTCCTCACCACTGCTATAGTCCTCATCCAAAGAGCTCCCGACATCAGAGCCTGAATCATATTCAGAGTCCTGTATTTCCTTCTTAGGATTGAAAAAAGTTTTTTTGCCTTTCTTGTTAAAACCATTCTGTGCTTTAACAGCACATTTCTGTTTCATCTTTGTTTTAGAAGTATTTTTAAGGTGATTTTGACTCTTTCTTGAGACAGCTTTTCCATTTGAAACTTCACTTTTTGAAGGATACTGAACATCTGTAAATGTAACAGAGACAAAAAACTATTGGAAGCACTATAAACTAAGAACACAAATATCAATGAACTGAAGTTTTTTCAGAAATAAGAGTGTAAACATCTAAACAAATTTTTTCATTTGAATACAAGGATTCTACTTCAAATTATTATTAAGTTCTGACAAGCTATATTTTTAATGGTGAAAGAGGAGCCGGGTTTTGCTAAAAATGAACAATTATTCAGTGATATTAAGTGATATTAAATATTTTAGGTAATAACTATATAATGAGATAAATACTATAAACAAAGTGCCGCGCATATAATAGGCACAATTTTGTTGGGTTGAATTGGCTAATGAATATAAATGAAATTGAGTAACACAACTCAAAACTAAAACTGATGAAATTCTCTGTAAAATAAGGTGATACACTTAATAGTGTATCTGTAAAATAAGGTGATACACTTAATAGTGGTTAAAAATGACAATTTGCTTTCCATTTGTTTTCAAATGACAGCAAGATGGATGCAGAAACAGAAAAATGGTATCCATTTGTCAGGATTCCCACATGCTATTTCCCTCCCAACTCTCTCAGATCTCAAGTAATAAAACTGTCTTGAGGCAGCTTGTGGCACAGTAAATAGGCCACTGAGCTTGGAGTCAGAAAGGTCTGAGTTCAAACCCTGCCTCAGACACTTACAAGCTGTGTGACCTCAGGCAAGTCACTTAAATTGTTTGGTCACTGTCCTCAATGGCAAAATGGGGATGATAAAAAGCACCTCTCAGGGCTGTTCTGTGGATCAAACATGATAAAGTACTCAGCACCATGCTTGGCACATAGCAGGTGCTATATAAAATGCTAGCTATCACTCATTATTATTTTTATTGTTGCTATTGTTGTTGGGAATAAGAGAGCTTTCTTCTACTTCTGAAGGAAAAGTAGCAACTGTCTGAACAAAATGAGTACAGTTCCCACTATCACCTCTACAGAGATAAGTTCACCTCTTCTCCCTGATAAAGGAATTATAAGACTTAACAGAACAGATGAAAAGCATCGCCTACTTTATTCACTTAGCTTCAGTTGGAAGAAGTACTTCACTCATCTGCTACACTAGGCTAACAACTTATGCTGCAAAAGAGGAAAATTGTGACTGCTTAATTTGTTTTAATATTAGAGTTATCTCTACAGTATAAAAGAGATTTTTAAAAAAGTGACAGATGCAAAAAAAAAATTTACACAGGTGAATAAACCCTATTAAAAATAAACTTCTTCTTATGTTCTTACCCATTGCAACCTTATCTGTAGTTGTGAAATCTGTATGCTTCATGATGGTATACAGCGGAGATTTTTTACCTTGTTGATCTTCAGCAAATACTCTTAAAGATTCCAAAGCTTCATTATACATCCATTCGTGTTCCTTAAGCACTTCTCTTAGTTCCTAGAATAAATGCATGTGCATTTTCAAAAATTCTAATTATTAAATCCACAAAAATCAGCTTATATCTTTGACTTTTTAACTTTACTTTTCTGATATTCATAAGGGTTGTTTCCCATGCTAATTTTTTATCAGAGAAAGGGTCAGCTTCTAAGAGTAATAAACATGCTTTTTAACTTTTTGTATAGCTTATACATAACCTTTGTATACCTCATATATAATTATACTTAAAGAAGGCACTCAGTTAAGTTCAGCAGTTGGCAAGACATTTAAAGACTGACAACAGATAAAAGGGTAAACTTTTAAAGGCTTAAAGAACAAGCATAGTAGGATTTCACATCTAAATTCTTCTCTAGGAGAAGACAAAGGATTACTCAGGACCAAGTATTGCTTTTTCAATCTTTAAAATTCCCACAGAACATTTAACATGCTGCATAAAATGCACATTTAAAAAAAAAAGTCAGTTGAAGGCATGAATTAAAATTCAGTTTATATTCTGTGCACAGAAAGTAGACCAAAAACTCTAAGGTCCATTCTAGCTTAGATGCTGAAAGACAGAGAACTCTCTAGGCCTAGACAAATCCCCAGATATAGAGCTCCAGTGTGAATGGTTCTCAGTAGTGCCTTTGCTGCATGGGGAGGAAAAGATCACACTTTACTCCATATTTCAACACATAAGGTAGACAGATGGTCCAAAGTCATGATATTGTGTGTAAGTCTTGTAATGCTTTTTTAGGAGTAACATAATTGGTAATAATACCCTGAAGAATGTGTCAGAGTAAAGTCCAGGGGGGGTGTGTGTGTGTGGTTAATGCGCATGAATATAAACAGACACATCTAAAAAAATATCTAGCCATCTGCTTTTTGCATTTGTCATTGAAATGATTTCTCTGATAGCAATGAGTATCATCAGTAACATGACAGAAAACAGCATCAGTTATGTGGGCCATTTACAGCTAATGCAAATAATGAATCCCCCGAAGCATGAATTCACACTTCATATTTCCAGTGGGCTGGAAACAATTACTACAGTCTACATAATTATAATTCTAAATAGTGTAACATCTGGGATTCATTATTGGCACCAAACAAAACCTAGCTGTACAGCAGTGACACAATCACTTTATATCTATACTTCATTTTCTTTGTTCACAATGCCAAAATAAAAAAACCCAAACAAGCAAAAAACCCATACAAACTTATAATGACATGACTGAGTTACATAATTTCCACAAATTATTTACTTTTCCACTTATATTAAAATTATTTCTAAAATGCCACCCAGATAGGTGTTACAAACACTGGCACAGGAATAGTAAAGTTAAGCTGACTTAAGACAAATTTGTTGATCATAATCTATAAAATGAACGCGTAAGTGGCTAATTTCCATATTGGATGGTAAAATGGTACACTCAAAGCAATAATTAGCACATTTATTAAAATTATTTTGTATACTCACCCAAATATAAATACAAACATTTTCTTACAGCTTCAAATGTTATATTCTCAATTTAACCCTTCAGGGAAATACACTTTGCAAGGCACTGAGGGAATACTAAAATGGAGATAATTAAAATCTCTGCCTGTCATGACTATAAATAGGGGAATGGAAAGGACAAGCATTTACTAAGTGCCTGCTCTGTGCCTGGGACTGTTTTAAGCACTTTATAAATACTATCTCATTTGATCCTTAAAACCACTTTAGATGGATGCTCTTATTATACCCATTTTGTAGTTGAGGAAAGTGAGAAAGACAAAATTTCTGTGACTTGCCATGAGTCAAATAGCTAGTAAGTGTCTGAGTCACACTTGAACTCAGATTTTCCTTCTGCTGTGTCACCTAGTTGCCTGATAAACTACTAGTATGCATTCATAGAACATTCCACTATTCTTTGATTTAACAAAATTATTCTTACTCTACACACTGAGATTCTAAATGCAAAATCTGCCTTTTGAAGACGCTGATAATTTCTTTCCTATAGCATAATCCACAATGATTTCTAATTATTAACTCTAGTTAACTCTTTGTTGTTCACATAGTAGATACAGATAAATATTGTTCTCAGACATACAGAAAAGTATTTACTAGTACAATAATGACAACAGCCAAGCTAATAAACATTTCATATGCTGATTTCACTACTTAAAGACTGTAAACGGTTAACTTCAAATTCCCAAATTTTCACTGTATATAATGTCAGACTTGCCTGCTGTTCTGCTTAATTTTTCTAAACTGGGTTTTTTCCCTTCTAACTAATAGTTGGGGAGGGGATATTGAGCAATAAAGATGTACTCTACAGAAGATGAATAAAAAAGATGTTTTTTAAAACATCTCTAAAATTTAAATGTGAATATGTGGCACATGAATTTGTTAAATTTCGTTTAAGGCCTACTCACCTCTTTTGCCAAACTGGGAAACTCAGTCTGCAGCTTTGCTACAATTGCTTCCTGCTTTTCCCATTTATCTTCTGATTCTTCAAAATCCTTTGACTCTTCAAGCTGTTTGGGATCAAGAATCAGGAATTTGCCTTTAACCAAGGGCATTAATATTCTAACCTGCCTAGGAAACCATAACATTTAGAAATCTCAGAAACGGGAAAGAATAGCTTAAGTTCATTTTTGCTTTTTCAATGTAAAAAGAATAAAAACAGTGGGTAATTAAAAATAGTTAGAATTTCTTGGTCAGGTGTTAAAAAGATTAATTTATTTATAAAAATACAAATTTATCAATAGTTCTTTATTTAATGCTTACAATAATTCCAACGGGACTGTTTTATAGGAAGTTAACTTGATATATTTTGTATGAGAATAAGCTTTCACATCGTCTTAAAAAACAAACAAAACCCAACGAACCAACCCACAACAAATCCTTGAAGATCTACAATAACAGAAGAAAAAATTAGTATGGATAAATGAAGCCTACAATTATTAGCATTCCATTTTACTCATAATTGAATCCTCCTCATTCAATCCCAATTACTCATGAAACTAAGTTTAGTTTTACCTCCTTTGTCCATTTTGTGATTCGACTTAATTATACATATAAATGATTCAAAGGATGCTACAGTGAGAGTGAGAGAGAGAGAGAGAGAAGCAAAGTAGCTATAATTTTTATACTTCAATGACAGACTAAAGTAGTCAGTGTCAATGGAGAGAAAAGGGACGAAAACTATAGTCAACTGCTTGATTTTATCTTGGTGCTTAAATTCAATTAGCACTCAATCAGCAAGTATTTGTTAAGCGCCTACTATGTGCCAAGCACTGTACTAGACATTAGGATACAAGGGCAAAGAAAAGACCAATCTCTACTCACAAGGGACTTACATTCCAATGATGGAGTGCGTATGTGCATGTGCGTATGCATGTGTGTAAAAAAAATGTGAATAGGGACTGAACCTGTGATTAAATTGGTATAGGACATCCCAGATAGTAAACTCCTGCTACCAATGTAGGTCAGCACTTTCTCTGCAATTTATAATCTTAAAGAGATTCCTACAGATGGGTTAAGAAATATGTATTGAGCAGTTAGGTAGCATGATAGAGCACTGAGCCTGGAATCAGAAAGACCTGAGTTCACATGTGACCTCACTCACTTATTAGCTGTATGACCAAGTCAAGTAACCTCTGTCTGCCTCAGTTTTCTCAAATGTAAAATGGGGGTAGTAATAGCAACTACCTACAAGGTTGTTTGAGGATCAACTAAGATAATATTTGTAAAGCAGTTAGCACAGTGCTGGCACAGAGCAGGCACTTAATAAATGCTCCTTTCTTTCCTTCTTTCCATCTTTCTCTAAGTCACACAGCTAGTATGTGCCAGAGAGGTGGGACTTGAATGCTGGTCTTCATGGATTCAAAGCTGGTTCTCTCATCCACTACTTACCTTACCTCTTATATATAAGTAAATACAGACTAAATATATGTACAAATATATATGCAGACCAACATCTTACACCATATATCAAGATAAGGTCAAAATGGGTACATGATTTAGACATAAAGGGTAATACCATAAGCAAATTAGTGAGAACAAGGAATAGTTTATCTGTCAGATCTACGGAGAAAGGAAGAATTTATGACCAAACAAGAGATAAGTATTACAAGACATAAAATAGATAATTTTGATTATATTAAATTAAAAAGGTTTTGCACAAACAAAAAATGCAACCAAGATTAGAAGGAAAGCAGAAAGCTAAGAAATAATTTTTATAGCAAGTGTCTCTGACAAATGCCTCATTTCTCAAATATACAGAGAACTGAGTCAAATGCATAATGTCATTCCCCAATTGATAAATGGTGAAAGCATATGAACAGGCAGTTTTCAGATGAAGAAATCAGAGCTACCTATAGTCACATGAGAAAATGCTCTGCATCACTACTGATTAGAGAAATGCAAATTAAAACAACTCCAAGCTACCACCTAATACTAATATGACAAAAAAGGAAAACAATAAATGTTGGAGGGGACGTGGGAAAACTGGAACACTAATGCACTGGTGGTAGAATTGTGAACTGATTCAACCATTCTGAAGGGCAATTTGGAACTGTGCCTAAAGGACCCTAATAAGACTGTGCATACTCTTTGACCCAGCAACACTACTACTAGAAATGTTTTCCAAAGAGACTAAAAAAAGGGGAAAGGAGGAGAAGGACCTACATATACAAAATATTTATAGTAGCATTTTTTTGTGGTGGCAAAGAATTGGAAATTGAGGGAATACCCATCAACTGGGGAATGGCTGGATAAGCTGTGGTATACGACTGGAATGGAGTACAATTGTGCTTTAAGAAATGACAAGCAGAAAAAAAAATTAGAAATGACAAGCAGGCTGATTTCAGAAAAATCTGGAAAGACACGAATTGATGCAAAGTGAAATGAGCAGAACCAGGAGAACATTGTACACAGGAACAGAAATATCATATGATGATCAACTGTGAATGACTTAGCTCTTCTCAGCAATACCAAGACAATATCCCAATATCCAAGACAATTCCAAAGGACTCATAATGAAAAATGCTATCTACATCCAGAGATGGAGTCTGAATGCAGAGCAAAGCATACTATTTTTCACTGTCTTCATTTTCTTTTTGCTTTTTTTCTTTTGTCTGTGTCTTCCTTAACATCATGACAAATATGGAAATAAGTTTTGCATGACTGCACATGCATAACCTAAATCAAACTGCTTACTGTCTCAGGGAAGTTCCGGGGAAGTGAGAAAATTTGGAACTCAGAATTTTTAAAAATTGTCTTCACATGTAATTGGAAAAATATTATTTAAAAAAATATGTATATAAAGACAAAATACAAAGTAATCAAATACAGGGTATTTTGGGAAGGAGAGTAATTGGAGGAATTGAGAAAGACTTCCATGGAGGTGGTGGTGTTTGAGTTACAACTTGAAGAAAGAGAGGGATTCTAAAAGGCAGAAGTGAGAAAAGAAAGTATTCTAAGAATGGGAAAAAGCCAGTGCAAAGGCATGGAGAAGGGATGGATCGTCCTGTATGAGAAACAGAGAAATGAAGAGTTCGGCTTCATTATAAAGTACAAGGTGGGGAATAGGTTGGGGTCAGTTTGTACCAACTTTAAAAAAGTAAACAGCAGTTTCTATTTGATCTTTGAGGCAAGAGGGACTCACTGAAGGAGACTGAACATGGCCAGAAAGGCCCTTAGGGAAATTCATTTTTGATGGTATCATGTAAGATAGTCTGAAGTGAAGAGAGACCTGTGACTAGGAAACAGAGGACTATTGCAATAATCTAGGTGAAAGGTAAGGTTGAACTAAGGAACTGCTTTGTGAGGAGAAATAGGGTCAGAAGAGAGAGATATTATAGAACAGAAAACAGCAAGATTTGGTAACTGATGAGATATATAAAAAAAGGGAGAGTGAGGATATGCCAAGCTTATGGGTCTGGAAGACTTAAAACCACAGGAACTGATGAGATTACCAAGAGAAAGAGTAAAGGGGAAAAACAGGATCTATGACTTAATGTTAGCAAATACTCACAAATAGGGGGCAAAAGAAATGACGAGTCAAAAAAGAAAACAGATCCCCCAAAGAAATACCATTAAAAAGTGTATTTAAAACATGCCTACTATGCATCAACACTGTGCTAGGTGCTATATGGAATACAAATTAGAATAAGCCAATCAACAACAATCAACAAGCTCCAGCTGTCCCCTGTTCTCTAATCAAGGCTGTCCTGGGCCCTCTTCTCATTCTTTGTCTAAATTATTTCCACTGGTGATTTCATCAGTTTCCAAGGATTCAACTATCATTTCTGTGCAAATGATTTTCAGATCTTTATTCAACTCTAATCTTTCTCCTGACTGGTTCCATCTTCAATTGCTTACTGAACAACTAAAAGTAAACGTCTTATAGACATCTTAAATTCAAACATGTCCAAAATTGAACACATTATCTTCTTCCTCAAACCCTCCTCTCTTCCTAACTTCCCCATTACTATCACCACTGAGGCTTACAAGCCAGATGCCATCTTCAATTCCTCATTCTCTCTTACCGTATTCCCATATTAGCTGCCAAGTCCTGTTTCTCTGCTTTCAAAGACATCACTCCTCTATGTACCCTTCTCTCCTTTGCCATTGCAACCATCCTGATATAGGCTCTCTTATCACTTCATGCCTGGAACCATTACGGTAACCTGCTGGTTGGCCTCCCTATCTCATCTCCTCGTTCCATTTATGGCTCAGTGTATTTTCACTAGCTGTCCCTACACTTGGAATTCTCTCCCTCATCACCTTTGCCTCTTAGTTTCCCTCAAGTCTCAGCTAAAATTCTTGCTTCTGCAAGAAGATTTTCCCAATCTTCTTTAACGTTATGCCTTTCCCCTGGGACGATCTCCAACTGATCCTGTTTATACATGGTACAAACGTGATAAACACAGATATACTTATCTACACATAGGTAAGTTTGCACATTCAGAGTGGGAATTATTTTTGCCTTTCTGTATATTCCCAACTCTTCGCACAGTGCCTGACACAGAGTTAATAAATGACATGTATTAAGAGCCTACTACATGCCAGATACTGAACAGGGTATTGGGGATGAAAAGTAAAAAAAAAAGCCACAAAAACAATCCCTGCCCATGAGATTATCTATGCCCAGTGTTAAGAATGCCCCATTGTTGAACATTCAGTACACCACATACATATATGCCAGTCTGCCCCCCTCAAGAATTTCTACTTACCTTCCTGTCTTGCTCTAATTAAATCTACTCTTCCTTAAATAGTAGCAGCTGAGATAAACTTGGCATGTCCAAAACATAACTCCCCACAAACTAAACTCTCCTTCAAACTTCTCTATTTCTTTTAAGGGAACCACGATCCTTCTATGTCACTCAGTCTTGCAATGCTGAAGTAACCATCCAAACCTACTGGGGTCCAATCTTGGCTCTGTTACTAACTACTTATACTGCCAAATCACTTAATCTCTTGGGATCTGAATTTCCTCCTCTGGAAAATAAGGGAATTGGACAAGGTGATCTCCAATACACCTTTCCAGGTCTAAAGCTATGATTCTATGACAATGTTCATTTCCTCTCATCAAAGTCCACAACACTGATACCCTATATTTAATAATACGCACATATGTGTATATACAATCATATTATTTATATTGGCCACTCCATAAAAATGAGATTTCTTTCAAAGGTAAAGAGAGAGTGTGTGTGTGTGTGTGTGTATGCATGTAGATATATCCTATCAACTAAATGCCACATTTTGATTTTACATGATAGATAGTTTGGAGAAAGTTATAGCCACATTAGAACAATGTAAGAGGTTGATTTTATTCTCTATTTCATATGCAACTGAAAATATTCAGATTGGAGTAGCCTCAGGGATGATATAACTATCTTCGAGTATTTGGAGGGGTATCATGTGGAAGAGGGATTAGATTTGTTCTTTTTAGCCCAAAGGGCCAACGTGTGGTGGAAGTAGCAGAGATAAATATAGGTTAGACACCAGGAAAAACCTCATAACACCAAGAACTGTACCAATGTTAAACAGGCCTGAAGGGTGGTAGTTTTCACTTAATTGGAGATCTTTAAGAAGAAACTTTATGTCCATTTGTCAGGTATGTTATGGTACAGGTTTCTTTCAGGTATGGATTGTGCTAGAAAGCCACTGAGGTCCCTGTCATCTCTCAAATTTTGCAATTCTGTAAACTATACTCTGACTTATGAGAACCAGCCATCTCAAAGCTAGCCATCTATTTCATACTATATTTCTCTTGCCTTCCAAAGTACCTAGAATACTGTTGGTTTCAAATAGTATAAACTGCTACTTGATTTAAAATACACATATATAAATGTGTGTGTGTATTTCTCTCTCCACATCTCTCTCTCTCTCTCACACACACACACACACACACTCTCTCACAGAGTTTCTGGGGGAACAAAAGAACCTAATGAAAAAGAAAATAGGAAATCATTAATCTGTTACACATTGTAAGAAGCCACATTCAACAGGCTATTAGTCCTAATCACATCCTTTTGTAAAACGCTTTATCTGAATTCAGCTGAGAGGAAGAGGGAATTCCCCAAACTGAGATGGATTTTCATAAGTCTTGGCTCAAAGTTTAATCACAATCACAAATAAAGAGAAAATTAAGTTTATCTACTTATTCTATTCTTTAATTTGACTAATCTCACACATAAATGACTTCAAAAGCAGCTACAAACAGTGTGGGAAACAAAAATTCTGGCTACACAAATCTAAACTGACTAGCTATCCTTCAAGAGCAGACTTTTCACAGCCCCAGCAGTAACCATTTTATTATCACTATTATTACTACTACTACTACTACTACTACTACTACTACTACTACTACTACTACTACTGATGACGGGTTCCAGTGGTTATTTAATGATGGAATTTGTACAGCTCTGCAAATCATTCTCCTTAAATGTAGGTCAAGAAACTGGAGAGTTGGACTGCTATTTTTCTGATCAAGATCCACAAGATTTTATTAATCTTTTACTAAGTATCCTCTAGGAATGAACGAAAGACCTATAGGTCTCAAATTCAAAATTCATTTCTTATACAACAAACTGATGAGACTCTCTCATAGTGTGCCTAAAAAATCCCTATGTCCTAATTAGGATACTTGTTTTCATTTGCTACCTCACTGAAGATTTCAAAAAGACAAAGCAGACTTTAGATGACAATTTTCTTTTGTCACCAGCCACTGCATGCAGTGAGTAACAACTTAGGAGTGTTTTTCTTTTCTACAAAAAGTTTTACGAGGATGAAAACAAATGGATGTATGCTAGACTTTGCTATATGTTTTAGTTTCCAAATATTTTAACCTTTTTTTCAATTAACCCAGTATCCTATGATTAAGATCACAGCATCAAATTGCTAATTTGTTACCCCACAAGATACCTCGTAAGAGTTGATTTCACAAGGAATAGAAAAATTTTATTTAGAGAGTATTGATTATAAAGCAAGGTACCCTACACAAGAAAGGTGATGGATTTAAGATGCAGATTTAAGAGGCATACATGTCCCAAACAGAAAATGTGGGAAATTGTTTTGTCTGACTATGCATATTTGTTCCAAAAGTTACATCTTTTTTATTCAATGGAGGCAAGTAGTAATGGATAAAGCACAGGGAAAAATGAGAGGGTCACTGAGGCATCCTTTTTTTAATGCATTGTACAGAAGGAAGTACAAGACACTGATTTAGAAATTTAAATAGAAAAACAAGCTACACACAACAGAGTTTCATTTATAAACATATAATCTTTTTTCTTTTCTGATATATATATGTATATATGAAAATGCCCATTTCATTTAATGTTTGTTAAATTCAGAACAAAATTAAAAAAAACATACAAGTTTGAAGGTGCTAAAGTCTTACTTCATGAAAGTCTATTAAACCAAATAAAGGTTATCAGGTAGTGGAAGCTATATTATAAACACAGAAAAGTGAGAGACATTCAAAACATAATGACTGATCAATGAGGAAAGAAGGAATACCATGTTAACCCTGCTACCTGTGCCTTTATAACTGTTAAGATATTCGATAAGTTAGACTTCCGAATTTTTTTCAAGACTCAAACCACTTAGGATTATTCCAAGATGCCTTTTAATGTCTTCGCTCCAGGTTCCTACTTTAAAAATGATCTGTCAAACCGTCAAAACTGTGGTTAGTTTCCCAAAGAGTATTTACCTAAAATTAACTGTTGCCATGTTTCTATCCACTATGGGTCTTCAAAAGATTTTATAACTCTGAATACTGGTAGAATTCTAAACAAACAAATGAACAGAAAAATACATGGAGGAAAACTCTCACAAATGGTTGGGTGGAAAAAGGGGGAACTTTCTTATGGGATTATTAACCAAGAAATGATTTACTAAGAAGTGCTCATTTCAGACTTGGTATGTTTTCAAAAACAGCATCAGCTATTATAGTATTCTGAGCCAAAAAATACCAGTAAAGTATAACTTACAGGATTGAACCGTTTCCTTTTTACAGTTTGATCATCATCATCATCCTCATCATCTTCAGAGGTGTATGAGGAAGATGAATCTAATTTTCTTTTCCGAGGTATACCTTTAAGAAACAGAAAAACCACACTAAAACCTTGTAATGCTGTAACAAAACTATACAGTTAAACACTGTCACACATAAGTAAAATCCCATTCCAAGTAAGGGTCTCTTCTATTAAAGTTATTTCCCTCTACTAGTAGTAACAGATAAATAAAATAAATATAATGTTTTTTCGAATTTTCAAATTCCTGTCTACTCAACATGACTAGCCAACCAGCAGCCCTTGGGTAACAAAGGCTCCCTGAAACAAGTTAAAGGAAAAAAAAAAAGTAAAAAAAAAGCCATCATGAGGGCAGCTAGGTAGCGCAGTGGATAGAACACCAGTCCTGGAGTGAGGAGGACCTGAGTTCAAATGTGCCCTCAACAACACTTACTAGCTGTGTGACCCTGGGCTTAACCTAACCCCAACAGGCTCGCCAAAAACAAACAAAAGTCATTATGAATTGCATGTATGTGTGTATGTTTGTATGTATATTTTAAACTGCTATTATAATAGAGACAAATAAAGTCACTAACCAATTAGTAATATATTTCATAACATTTAAAACTAAGAATAGAGCACTCTATGATACTGATATATTTTAACCTATCTTTTGTCTGGATAGGTCTTTATAAAAATATCCTATCTGGAATTCTTGACCTCAATGGTGAATTAATAAAGTGAAAAGAATTATCTAAACAGAGATGTCAGCAACACATTCCACTTCCCTGCCCTCTCTCTCCTACTTTTTTGGGGCCATTTTGTGGTTTATTTCAGAGTTTGTGTTTGATTAGCTGGCTAGAGTCCAAGGATGGAAGTGAGGAGAGATGAAACACTGAAAACTAACTGCTATATGACATCAAGTGAAAAAGAAATTAGATCAGACAAGGGAGAAATCTTTTTTTAGGTGGGGAGAACTACAGAAGGCTGCACAGAGGCATTTGAGCTGAAGGGTGGGTCCTTCTAAGAATAAGGAACAGTATGAGCAAAATCACAGAAGTAGGAAAGCACAGGATGTGTGTTGTAAAAAAGGATGGAAAGACAAGTTGGAACTAAATCATGAATGCCAGAAATCTTGGCTTTATTTAGTAGACGGTAAGGAATAACAATAAATTTAGTGAACTGAAGATTTCTGAAGAGCAGACTGACATTATTAGGCTTGTACATGAGGGCAGTTAATTTGGCAACAATGTGCAAGATAAATTGGATGGGGAAAGAGATATGCTTAGAAACTACTTCAATTAAGGATGGTGAAGAGAAGAAAGATGGGAGATTGTGGAGATGAAATCAAGACTTTGACAAGGAGAAGAGGAAAATGGGAAGAAGGGGAGAGAAGGGGAAGAAAAGGAAGAGAAAAAAGGGGAACCCTAAAGCCAATGAAGGGGGAAAAAAAGTTTCAGTAGTTTTTAGAATAGTTTCATAAAATGTTAAGGTTAAAAGCTAGAATGCAAGGGCTGAGAAATAAATGGTCAGAGTCCTTGGAGCCAAAATGGCAGATCAGAGGCAACATAGCTGAACTCTCTCAACATGACCCTCCAACAACTCTAAAATAACAGCTCACATCATATTTTGGAGTGCCAGAGACAATAAAAGGTCAGGGTGTGATACTTTTCCAGCCTAAGAAACAACAGAAGTTCAGTAGAAGATTGTGACACTGGGGTGGAGGCTCTCAGTCCAGAGATGATAAAGGGGTAGGACAACTGGTTAGAAAGAGATTATTTGGGGAGGGGGGGTGCAGCTAGGTGGCACAGTGGATAGAACATGAGCCCTGAAGTCAGGAGGACCTGAGTTCAAATCTGGCCTCAAACACATGATACTTACTAGCTGTGTGACCCTAGGCAAATCACTTACCCGAGTGCCTCTCACCCCCCCTCCAAAAAAGGAGACTCTTTGTTGGCATTAATTGGCAACTCTATTGATCTTACACAGTTCTGGGTCACAGTCTCAGGGTTGAGAGAGGTGCTGGTGGTTGGTCCCCAGGAAGCAGGGATTCTGTTCATAGTTCCAAAGCACTTGTAGCTGCTGGGGACCAGGGGTGCTTTCTGGTTAAAGCCCAGAATGCAGACCAAGAGAGCAGTGACCATACCTCCTTTCCAGGATCACATCACCTTTCAGAAGTAGCTCTGAAAACAGCAGTATGAAAAAGCCTGATGCTTGGGAAGTGCCTTCCCACCTCCAGGTAAGGAGAGCCCAACTTTAAAATAAAGTTCAAAGTCAAGAAATAGGCTGGAAAAATTAGCAAACAACAACAACAACAACAAAGAATTTGGCCATAAAAAACTACTAAGCTGGCAGTGAAGACCAAGACATAAACTCAGAAGAAGACAACAATGTGAAAAAAGCTACAAAAAAATCTGAAAAGAAAAATGCTAATGGGACTCAAGTTGAACAAGAATTCCTGGAAGAGTTAAAAGAAAAAGAGTAGAGGAAAGTAGAGGAAAAAATTGGGAAAAGAAATTGTGATCCAAGAAAATTATGAAAAGACAGTCAAAACCTTGATAAAAGAGGTACAAAAAATATGAAGAAAAAACACTTTAAAAAAAGAGAACTGACCAAATGTAAAAAGAGGTACAAAAACTCACTGAAGAAAGTAATTCCTTAAAAATTAGAACTGGGCAAGTGGAAGCTAATGCCTCTACGAGACATCAAGAAACAGTAAAACAAAGTCAAAAGAATGAAAAAAAGAACATGTGAAGTATCTCATCAGAAAAATAACTGACCTAGAAAATAGATCAAGGAGAGATAATTTAAGAATTACTGGACTACTTGAAAGCCACAATCAAAGAGCAAGCATAGATATCATATTTCAAGAAATTACCAAGGAAAACTGCTCTGATATTCTAGAATCACCGGGTAAAATAGAAATAGAAAGAATCCACCAATCACCTCCTGAAAGAGATTGCAAAATGAAAACTATTCAAATTTCAGAGCTCCCAGCTCAAAAAGAAAATATTTCAAGCATCCAGAAGGAAATAATTCAAATATTGTAGAGCCACAGTCAGAATCACAAAAGATTCAGTGGCTCCCATGTAAAAGGAGGGGAGTGAGGGGGGGACAACTTGGAATATGATATTCCAGAAGGCAAAGGAGCTTGGATTACAACCAAGTATAACCTACCAAGCAAAACTGAGTATAATCCTTCTAGGGAAAAAAATGGACATTTAATAAAAATAAGAGGACTTTCAAGAATTCCTGATGAAAAGACCAGCGCTAAATAGGAAATCTGACATTCAAACATAAGATTCAAGGAAAGCATAAAAAGGTAAACATGAAAGTGTAATCATACGGGTCTCAATAAAGTTAAACAGTTCACATTCCTGTATGGGAAAGATGATAAATGTAAATCCTAAGAACTTTATCATTATTGGGGTAGTTGAAAGAAATTTACATAGAGGTCATGGATATGAATGATCTCCAAAATAATGAAGGGATGAGAAAGAGAGATGCACTGGGAGAAGGCAGAAGAGAGAGAGGAAGAATGGGAAAGTTTTCTCACATAAATGAGGCACTCAAAGAAGAGCTTTTACAGTGGAGGGGAGACTGGTGGGGAACGTGGGCAATGCTTAAACCTCCCTCCTACCGGGGCTGGGTCAAAGAGGGGAGACCGTACACACACACTCAGTGGGGTGTAGAAATGCAATTTACCCAACAGGGAGAAATGAGAGGAAGGGAGTAAGAGAAGGGGGAAACAGGAAAAGGGAAGACAGATAAAAGGAAGCAGTGGTTACAAGGAAAACAGACTTTTCAGGAGAGACAAAAGAAGAAACAGAAGAAAAAGAGACAAAGGGAAATACATGGAGAGAAATAGTAATCGTAACAGTGAATGGGAATGGGATGCTCTCTCCCTTAAAACAGAAGCAGATAATAGAACGGATTATAAACTAGAATCCAGTAATATGCTGTTTATAATAGACACACTTGAAACAGAAAAACACACACAGAGTTAAAATAGAAAAGGCAGGGGAAACAATCATAATCTCAGACAAAGCAAAAGTAAAAATAGATATAGTTAAAAGGGATAATCTGAGAAACTACATTTTGCTAAAAGGTACCACGGAAAATGAAGTAATATCAAAATATTTCACAAGTTTCTCTGATAACGGCCTCATTTCTCAAAAATGTACTAACTACAAAAATGGGTCAAATGTATAAAAATAAGTCATTACCCAATTACTAAATGGTCAAAGGATATAAGTAGGCAGTTTTCAGAAGAAATCAAAGCTACCTATAGCTATATGAAAAAATGCTCTAAAAAAATCACCACTGATTAGAGAAAGGCAAATCAAAACAACTCTGAGGTACCTATCGGAAATGACAAATGCTAGAGGGGATAAAGAGAAAATAGGTACACTAATGAACTCCTGGTATTGTGTACTGGTCCAACCATTCTGGAGAACAATTTAGAACCAAGCCCAAAGGGCTATAAAAGTGTGCAATACCCTTTGACCCAGAAATACCACTACTTGGTCTGTATCCCAAAGAGATCGAAAAAAAAAGGGAAAAGGACCTATATGGACAAAAATATTTATAGCAGTTCTTTTGGTGGTGGCAAAGAATTGCAAAATGAGGGGATGCTTATCAACTGGGGAATGGCTGAACATGTTGTGGCATATGATTATGATGAGAGTACTGTTGTGTTGTGGGAAATGATGAGGGGAATGATTTCAGAAAAACATGGCAAGGCCTATAAGAACTGGTGCAAAGTAAAGTGAGAAGACGAAGAGATCACTGTGCACAACAATAGCAATATTTTAATGATGGTCAACTGTGAAAGATTTGGCTACTCCATTTAATATAATGATCCAATACAATTCCAAAGGAGTCATGATGAAAAAAGATATCTACTTCCAGAGACAGAATGAACTGAGTGCAAAATGAAGTATATTTTTCCCTTTATTTTTCTTGCTTTAAAAATAAATAAATATATATATAGCTAATATAGAAATGCTTTGCATGATTTCACGTGTATAATTGATATACTGCTTGCCTTCTCAGTGGGTGGGGTAGGGAGTGGGAGAGAGGGAGAGAATTAGGAACTCAAAATTTAAAAAGATAAGAATGCTAAAAATAAATAATAGATTGAAAATTTAAAAAAAAAATAGAAATAAATGGGCAGAATGGAGTAAGCATAGACTCCTCAAGATTTAGAAGCACAAACAGTAGCTTAAAGGGACCATAAGGGAGAGGAAAGGTTTGCTTGATTTTTAGGACAGAGATCTGAATGTTGCTACACTGGGAGGGGATAAGGGTGAGTAGGGGTCACTCAAGAGTGAAGGTCTGAGTAATGCAACCAAAAAAGAATCACTGAAGACAGAAAAGTAAGATCTAAACTTGCTACTAAGTGTTATATAATGCTATATGAGTCACTTTTCTGTTACCTATGTAGTATCTAAGTTTTCACTTTTGCCTGACAAAGGCAAAGACTGCCACAAATCCTAGCTGTGCTAAAACAGAAGCACCATGTTAAAATAAAAATAAGAAGGTTGTTAATAGCCCAACTGTCATCTCCTATTAAAATTCACAATTGAAAGAAATCTGCTGAATGAATAATGCATATGATATATATAGATGACCTTTTAAAAAGTGACATTTTAAAATAAATATTGTAGCAAAATTATATAAGAAGAATGAATTGTAAAACTTTTAAAGCATTTTTAAAATATAACACTTTTCAGAACTATAAGTAATCACCTATCACAGTACTGGTCCACCCTCCCCTGCCCCACAATGTAATTTTAGAAGAAGAAAAAGTATATTCCCAACTATTAATTCAATAACATTCCTTACCAGACCAGAAAACTTCTGAGTTATAGGGGATCTTATCCAACTCAGTTTCATATGACCCTCTTCTCACTTGCCAAAGTCACAACAGTTTGTAGCACAATCAATATTAGAATCTGGGTCTTTTAACCTTTAAAACCTGTACATAGTTGTTTGTATGTTGTCTTTCCCATTAGACTGTGAGCTCCTTGAGACCAGAAACTTTTTTTGCATTTCTGTCTATTCCTAGCACTTAGCACAGTGCCTGGCACATAGTAGGCACTTAATAAATGCTTCTTGATGGAATTACCTAGTGTTCATTTCAATATACCATGATAATTCTGAAGGCTATTATAGGCTCTTGCAATAATCTAATTAATGTACTGAGATATATTCCTGATTTTTGTGTGATAAAAAGAAAATTTACTATAGGAGAATTCACCTCTTCTTCACCTAATCTACTAAATTCCTTTTATAAAAAGAAATATATTTGTTGAGGCAAGAAGGCAGGTGTTCGGTGTCATTTCCATGTCTAAAAAACGTGCCTCAAGTTAGACGATTTATGCCAATTCACCTAGACATGCTTACTCTTGCCTAAAAAGAGCAATAGCTGTAATTTTTGTTAATAAAGAATTTCACCTCCTTAAACATCTGCTCTCAGAGAAGTTTAGGTAATGGTATGATGCCTGATTCCTTCAAGTACACAGAAATGGCTAAAAGGCAAAATCTGTACTATATATAAAAGTTTAAAATTATTATTTTAGTATAAAAATGTCAAAGATGAGCATGCACAGAATTTTACTTTAAAAACACTAGTTGCAGTGGGGGGAAGGAGGGACAAGCTAAGTAATACGAGGGCAAAGTAGAGGGTAGAAGCAAACTAGGAGTCAGGAGGGATAAGAAATAAGAGATAAGCACAAACACAAACAAAGATCAGGTGCAGAATTTGTTAGGGAAAGTATATGTGTACATATGTAATGTATGTATGTGTATATATATATGTATGTATGTGTATATGTGTAAGTATATGTATGTATGTATCTATCTATATAAATATATCTGCACTTAATTGTTGGGGGTGAAGAGGAGGGTTGGAAAGGGGGAAAAAGAACAAAATGCACAGCAGAGAACAAAAGAAAACTTGCAAGGAAGCAAAGAAAAGATGGACAGCTCTCAACATAACATGCAATATTTATCATACAGGCTTTCTTGAAAATTTATTGCTATGTATTTTGAATCCTCTCATATGTTCTGCTGTGTGAAGACATGCTTTTTTTTCTTACTTTGTAGTTAAGTTTTGATATTTAAGTTTATGATATGTTTCTTTTTCTTTTTTTTCTATTCTGTATTTGAGTTCTGGTGTTTGAGTCTAAAATAAGAAAAAAACACTAGTTGCTACAACTAAATCATAGTTACTTTACAAAGAAAGAGCATAATTAATCTCACTGTATGAATACATTCTATAAATTTAATGAATTCTTGGCCTTAAGTGAAAGATTGAGGACAACACTGTAACAGTCAAGTGTATTCTTTTCCCAAGGAGGTTCAAGCTGACAATATCGAGGTACAGCCTCCCTAAGGTAGAACAGCACTTTTCAAGCTGTGCTCCAGTTCAGTCGGTGTAGACTGGCTGCTTCCTTATTGCCTACAAACATGTCCATGTTTCCCCTAGTCCTTAAAAGCCCTTCATTTGATCCCTCCATCCCTGCCAGTTAGCATCCCACACAGCTCTCTTCGTTTTAAGAAGGCCATCTACAACAGGTACTCCACTTCCTTTCCTCTCAGTCTCCTCGTAACTCTCTACAGTCTCTTTCTGACCTCACCATTCAAATGAAACTGCTCCCTAAAAATGACTAACAATCTTTTAGTTGCCAAATCTAATGGCCTTTTCTCAATGCTCTTCTTTCTTGACCTTTCTGCAGCCTTTGATACTGACGGACAGTACCAAAGAAGGGCCCACTCTTCTCTTCTCCTTTATACTTTCTTCTGGGTAGGTTTTCGTGACACTACTTTTTCCAGGTTCTCCTTAAATCTATCTGACCACCTCTTCCCTCTCCTGCACTGGATCTTCATTCAGGTCATGAATGAGAACTGTAGGGTACTCCACAGCTCTATCCTGGGTCCTTTTCTCTTTTTCTTTTAAACTTTTTCACTTCATGATCTCATCAGCTCTTGTGAATTCAATTATACTGATGATTCTCAAATCTATTTATCCAGCCCTAACCTCTCTTCTGACCTCCAGGCTCACATCTCCAACTGCCTCTTTCTTGAACTGGCTGTCTTGTAGTCTCAACGTGTTCAAAACTGACTTCATTATCTTTTCCCCTAAAATCATCTGCTCTTTTTATTAACTTTCCTATTACTGTTGACATCATCCTCTCAGCTACCCATGCTTATAACCTAGGTATCATCCTTGATTCATTACTCTCTCTCACTCCCACTGTCAAGGCCTGTCGATTTTATCCTATCTCTCATATATGTCCCCTTTCTCTACTCCTACACTGCCACCGCCCCAGTACAGGCCTTCATCTCTAGCTTGGACTACTACAATAGTCTGCTCACTGGTCTTCTTGCCACAAGTCTCTCCCCACTCTAGTCCATCTTCCACTCATCAGCTAACATGATCTTCCACAATTACAGGTCTGACTACATCATTCCCTACTCAATAAACTCAATTGACTCCTTACCACCTTCAAGATCAAATATATTATCCTTTGGCATTCAAAGATTCTTATAATCTTCCTACTCCTATACCTTTCAGACTTCCTCTCCCGCCATATAATTTGTGAACCAGTGACACTGGCCTCCTTGTTTGTCCTTGAGTAAGACACAGTTCCTGGCATTTTCACAAGCTGTCCTCTATACCTGGAATCCTCTCCCTCCTTATCTCTACCTTCTGGCTTCCTTTCAGGAACGATTAAAATCTCACTGTCTACAGGAAGCCTTTCCCAATCCCCCTTAACTCTAGTGCCTTCCCTCTGTTGATTATCTCCAATTTACTGTATATTTATCTGCTTTGAACATAATTGTTTGCTTGTCTTCCATTATACTGTGAGTGAGCTCCTCAAAAGTAGGATATCATCTTTTCTTTTAAACATGGCAACTGCTGGCCATGACAGATCCTTTCAGAGAAGAGCTCTTTACTCCTATACAGCTTCTTAACTGACCCAACTTACTAGCAAGTGAGACATACCTTCACCAAACATCAGCAAGGCAGCAGCTATTGCTCCATCCATTGTACTTGTTGATTCAATCAACTGATAAAAAAAATGAGAGAAAAAGTTAATTGTGAGAATTAAGCAAAAATCCTAAGCCAAGTTTACTAAAGTAACAGAATTTGAAATATTTAAAGAATAAACACCATAGAATAAGAGAAAAGCATAAGGATATATAATGTCAGCCAAAGCTTTGCGTTTACTCATTCTTGACACTTTTTTCAAAATTATAAGGGGGAAAAAAGTTCAAAAATAATCATTCAGTCCCCAAGCATTTAGAAAGCACCTTATTATGTGTCAGACATTGTGCTACTATGATAAGTGATGGGTGATACAATGAAAGATAAAAATACAAAGGCCTCAAAAACTACCCCCTTTACTAACCACTACCTTCATAAAAGTTAAAACCCCTCTGCTTCATGCCTAAGCATTGTGTGTGTGTGTATATAGCTACACAACACAGACACACACATTCTGAAAAAAGTCAATCATCTTATTTTTTCCTGATCATTTAAATATTTCAATATATTTAATTTAATTCTTCACATAGGATCACTGAATTTAAGAAAAGGAAAAGCCTTTATACATAACTCTCATGCCATCTCTTTACCTTACAGATTGAAGAAACTAGACCCAGGAAAACTGAAATAACTTGGTCAGAGTCACACCACAGCAGAGATTTGACCAATAAGTCCACTACACCAAACTGACTCTAAAATCATAGCTAATATTTTAGACTTTTAAAAGGTTCAACATGTTAGATTTTCTATTTATTTATCTGCACAGTAATATTAAGACACATTGCAAAGTTGAACATGTAGAGTTTGAACTAGTCAGGAAGAAGTCAGAGCTTAAATTAGAATCTTGATTATTTCACTGTACACAGAAAAAACTGAACTGATAATCTTAATTTTTTTAAAAAGCTCTGACCTCTTCCTGCCTAGTTCAAACTATAGTTCAATTTTGCAATATGTCTTAAGTACTTTTCCCTCTCCTATATGCTCATGGCATAGCACCTCCTCCTCCTCGTTGCAGAGCTGGGGAACACTGACACCACCATCAGACTGAGGTGATTTGTTAGGCTTGTAGACCTGCTTCATTTCCTTCTCTTTTGTTCTCTGTTATAAGAAATGCAGGAGGAGAGGTGGAATGGATACATTTGGAAATGAAGGTGGCATAAAAAGATAACAAATCCATAAAATACCCATGGCAGTCTTTTCTTTATTACAAGCATAATCAATTCTGTTTCAGTCTCATAGTCCAAGTTTTCCAAAATACCTTTAAAAGATACTGAAACCTACTTCCTTCAAAAAAGCTAAACAGTCAAATTTCCTGCTATGTCAGCTTGAGTAATTTTCTACTTATATAAGGCATTTTTTTCTTGATTTAATGTTTTTCCCAATTACACATAAAAACAATTAACATTCTTTAAAAATAATTTGTGTTTCATATTCTTTCCCTCTTTCCCTTCTCCCCTTACTAAAGCAAGCAATTTGATATAGGTTATACATGTACAGTCATGCAAACACATTTCCACATTACAGAGATTATGAAAGAAAACAGACTGAAAAAAAAACAACCCAAAAAAGAAAAAAAAAGACAAGAAAAATAAAGAAAGTAAAGAAAAAAGTATGCTTTGATCTGCATTCAGATTCCAGTTCTTTCTCTGGAGATGGACATCATTTTTCATCACAAGTCCTTTAGAATTGTCTTGAATCATTGTATTGTATAAGGCATTTTGTTTAAAAATGTTAAAAGCTTTCTTGTTGAATGCTTAATCACTGTATATAAACCATTAATTTATAAACCCATAACATTCTTTCAATATTCTGCAGCTGGAGTTCCTAAGATACTTGGCCAGGTGGCTCTCTGTCTACCAATGCCACTTAAGGATACACTGGGTACTTGGTAAATCCACCCATCTAGAACATTAACAAAATAGCTGGAATTGCTTAGCACTTGTAGGTTCACAAAGCCCTTCACAATTATCCTACTTGATCCTCAAACCAAGGCGGAGAGGTAGTAGGTATAGTTTTACAGATAAGGAAGCTCAGGCACTCAAAGGCTGAGTGAGCAACTTCAGGTGGCCAGTGTTTGAGGCAGGATTTGAATTCCAGGCCCAGCGCTCTATCCACTACACCATCTTGCTGCCTCCATAACTGACTCTGCACTTTCATCATATACATTTTCTCATATTTAAAACAGAGTACTTTAAGGAAACGGTTATCTTGATGAGTGATAAAGCAATCCAGATTATCAAATATGCATGATTCGCCTAAAAACCAACATTACTGCCATAAGAATAAAATATGCCTGAAAAATTCTACATGACTGATCATCCACTAAAGTCTATTTTTCTACCAAAAAACTGTAAAACCAGAAATGGGGGAAAAAAAAAATCCCCTTAATGAACCAATATAAAACCTTGGCAAGGCAGGACAGAGGAAGCCTGGACCTTTCTGATGCTTTATACTGTTGTTTTCCAACACATTAGTCATATAGGAAGCTGGAGCTCATGCAGAAATTTACTTTGGAGTCTTAAGCTGTGCTGCCTCTGAATCACTGCTGCACTGTCAGCCACAGCATCCCTGACTTGCCATACAAAAGACTAATGACAAGACGGAGGCTACCTAAACAACTGCACTCCTCTTACTAATCACTTGGCCATCATTCTCAGGGTCAGCACTAAGATAACACCGCTGGAACCTGAAAAAAGTTACAGTAACAAGGATCTATAGAATACACAACACAGAACCTAAAACTTTTGGGCTTCAAATGGACTTAAATGTCATCTAGGTCAGCTTTGACACCCTCTGCATTAGCTCCACCATCATCTTAGATATGGAGAATAAGGTTGGAAGAAGTAAAGAGACAGAATTCTCCAAAGTCACACAGATAAAAAGAGGCAAAGCCAGAAGTCAAACCTAATTCTCTGGGTCCCAGGTCAGGGCTTTCCCCCCTACATTGCACTATATATTCCCTGCTTAACAGACTTCATTAGGACTTCTGTTTTTTTCTTATAATGTGAGATACTTGTATTAACTCTTGTCCATTAAAACACATTGATTCCTGGTATCACAGCTTTTGAAATGGAAGGGATTTTGTATGGAATCTAGTCTGATACTATCATTTCACAGATAAGGAAACTGAAGCCCAGAGAAGTGAAATGACTTGTCTAATGAGGGTCACCAATGTAATCAAATCACCAATTCAACACATGAGAAGGCAGAATAACTGGGGTGAGGGCTGGGTAGGATGGGGAGCCATTCTCAGTCAGACTGTCTGGCTTTTCCATTCCTACATCTAATAGTACTGCACCATGTCCCTCCGGGCAGGGGAGGGACAAGTTACTAAGTACCTCAATGCTCCAAGGTGCAGAAGTCCGTGGCTGGCGTTTTCTCACCAGGTTTTCCTGATTTACATTTACGTATTTACATCAATAAATCACAGAACTGGACCAAAGAAGAATAATACATAAGCCAAAAATATCTGGGATTATCCCCTTCCCCAGATATATATAACATGAGATGTTTACATCTAGACAAGTACATTATTGGCATTTATTATTTCACAATATTGTACTGTGTTACAATAACACATTATATATTACATGATGGCATTATTACACAACACAATGACATTTGCCCAAAATACAAAAGTTAATAAACTTTACCATGTCTGCATCCCCAGATATAAGATATTTAAAAATGGTTAGCAACAATCTCTAACAGAGTCATGGGAAGAGGTCTTTTTTTTTTACCTTAATTAAATCACTGTCACTGCCTTGGGGAAACAGCTCCTTCAAAGTCTGAAGCTTTGCATCTTTAAGGTCTTCCAACTCCGAGACATCGTCATTTCTTTCTGTCACATCATGATCCTCTTCAGTCTGCTCATCTTCAGATTGCTCAGAACTGGCATCGTTTGCAGGAGAAAAGACATTTAGATTCATTACAAGTGCTACTACAAATAATGAACAAGTATTTGTTAACGGACTGCTATGTGCCAGGCACTGTGCCAGGTGCCAGAGACACAATGAAATGCGCCAATGGGGTAGGACAAGGATAATTACAGGCAAACAGAGAATAAATACAATACATGCAAAATAGTTAAGGGTTTGAAAGGGAAGGCATTAGCAGTTGAAGAAATGAGAGTTTTCCCTGTAATGCATTCCATAAAATATAAAAAAAATTCTTTTTTGCCAATATTAAGATCAGCCCAGACTTACCAGAAATGTATTAAGAACTTTTTCATGAATGAACAGCTAAGTGTATAAGTCAACATTTCCCACACACACACACACACAACTGAAATCGACTCAATTTGCCTGTCTATGAGGCAATAGTGAATGAGGCCTATAGAACTTCGGCCTGTCAATCTTCTTTCCCTCTGAAAACTGTTCATTAGAAGTACAGGGGAGGAGGAAAAAGAGGACCATGCAACTTGACCTATACCTCCTGTATGTTCTCCTCTCCCTCCCCTCAAGTTTGCTATATAAAATGCTTGCTGTTCTAGTGCGCCTGAGAGAGGATGATGGCAGGATTTTTTAGAAGGGAGATGAGTAAAGTCTGCCTAAGTGACTGAAGATGTCCTGATAATGCTCACTCTGAATGGCCATTACATTCTGAATCACTAACAAAAGAAAAAGACATTATGCCCGCATGGGGGGTAGAAGACAAGGGGTAAACTAAAGAACATTAGCACTCTGAAAGACTCTCAGAGATCCTGTGGTCCACACTCATTATTTTACAAGAGGCAACCAAGGCCCAGTGACTTTCCCTAGGTCAGCCTGTTATTTGTTGCATGTAGCTTTATCCTTCAAACAACCACAAGCCACCATATTTCTTTTTGCCTAATCAATTAGTTACACAGATACAAAACCTGTGATGGATTAAGTTGGTATTTAGAGTCTTTTCTATAAAGAAGGTAGGCACCAAATATTGGGTCAGAAACATTTCCCTATATATAAGGTTTCTTTATGGAAATCAGATTTACTTATAATATGAAACATAAAACACCTAAGAAAACCATCCCACAAAAATAAGGCATTAAAAAAACTTTTGGCTAAAAGATTGCCATCATTTCTTTTCCTGTGACAGTTATTTCTGCTTCTTAGTGAACAAAGAATAATAGAATCCCAGGTTCCATGGACGGGAACTCAGAAGTCAGTCAATCTAACTCTTACCAAAATAAGAATCAAGTCTACAACATCACTCATAGTTTTCCAGCCTCTAAGGTATGAACAACTCTGGTAAAGTAGGGCCTCACCACCATACTATTTTACAACAGTTATCTGTTCAGAAAGCTCTTCTTAACCTTCAATGTTAAGAGTTCTGACCCCTATAGAATAAGCCCAATTCTTGTGGTCTGTTATTTTTATATGATATCCTCATGCTAACAAACTGATGTTTATTACAGAAAAAGTAAAAAATAACATGTTTTTTAAATGAAACTACAAATTTTCATTTGAGTATACAAAGCAAATTTTTAAAAAAACTTAAGTAACAATTATCCCCAAATATCAGATTTCACAATTGAAAATTTTTCTCCATATAGAATTATTTCCTTATCTAAGTATTCTTACTTGAGTATTTTTAAAAATAATCAAGATTATATATTTAATAGTCTAATAAAAATTATTCAATGGACATGAAAAGCTCTATTGACAAACCTAGCTTTTCTTATAATCAGCTGAAGGGATATCCTAGTCTACCTCTAAAACATGCAAAAACAACAACAAAGTGTGTATATGTGTGCGTGTGTATACATCTCCCCTCCCCAATTAATCCAAACTAGTATAACATGACCTGTATTATCACTCGGATGCTCTGCTAAAGAATGCCTATTACTCTGCTTATTTTTAACACACAGAGAGTGAAATAAGTACCTATAAGGTTCAACCTAACTAAATACAAAATTTACTTATAAGCTAAATAGGGAGTTAAATTTCTTCAGAGACTGCATGCAAGAAACTTCCTCAAAAAGTAAAACTTTTTATGCATAGCAATGCACATCTGCAATCTCAACTACCAGAGTGGCTGAGGATGGTATCTCTTGAACTCTGGAGTTAATGGGCTGCAGGAGATTAAGCTGATGGAGTGTCCTCACTAAATCTGGTATCAATATGATGAAGCCTCTGGGAAAAGGGGACCATTAGGTTGCCTTGGGAAGTAAGAACTGGCCCATGTCAGAAAAAGAGGAAGTCAAAGCTCAAATGTGGGTTAATAGTGGAATTGAACCCATGGGCAGCCTCTGTACTTGCAGCCTGGATGAGAAGGGTAATGCAGTCTTTAACTTAAAAAAAAAAAAAAAAAAGTGAAATTTGGTCTAAGGTCTATCTTAAACCAAAGAAATGGCCAAACTAAAAGAAAGAAGGACAAGTACGGCACCTGGATCATTCATAAAATATCACTTAAAAAGTGGGCTGCAAATATTCCATGACTGTAAAATAAAATATTCTACTTACACTATAATCACTGGCTCTCTTTCAGACTTTTCGTCTTGATTTCTATTGGAACAATTTGGGGAGCCAAAATCTTCACTGTCAGAAGATAAATCAATAAACTGTATTCCTTTTTGATTCCTGAAATATGACACACCTGATTTTCTTTCAGGCTCTGGAGTTTCTGGTACACTGGAATCCTCTATATGAGGAAGAAAAGAAAGTTATTTATTAAGGACATTTAGATTGCAAAGCTTACATTTCTATTTATAACAAAATGATACAGGAAAATGTAGTCATTCAAATCCCAAGTCACTATTTGAGTGACATCTTGGCAAGTCACTTCACATCTGAGACCATTTCTTCATTTACAGAATGAATGGGGGCTAGATGAATTCCAAAGGTCCCAAAGAGCCTTATTATTATTTAATAATGACTAAAATATTTCCCAAATTCACTTGGTTGCTTTTCTACTAAAAGAGAAATTACAGAACTGGGGTATATCACAAAAGAGAGCAAAGAGTAGTTTTTTTGCCATAAGCAAAATTGTGAAATTTGTCCTTGAAACCCTCCCATTTCCGTACTACTCTTCTACCTCTAGGCACCTACGGTGCACTACAATGTCCCCAAACCTTCTACTATGGCACCTCACCAACATCTCCTGTTTCCCAAATTCTCAGTTCATATTTATTCCTCCCTCCTTACAGCAAAAACTCCGAATCCCTCTCCCATGACCTCTTAACCTACATCAAAATTCCACTTCAAAACTAAGCTATATTAATTCTACCAGATTCACAAGATCACAGGATTTCAGATAAAGAGCCCTAACCCTCTCCCACCCAACTGAGAAGGCAAGAAATATGATATCCATTATACATATGAAGTTACACAAAACATATTTCAACATGAGCAATGCTGCAGGAAAAAAAGGAGGCAAGAAAAATAAAGAGGAAAAAAACCTGCTTCAATCTGCACTCAGTTCAACATTTTATATCACGAGTCCTTTGGAACTGACATAGACTACTGTATTGGTCAGAGCAGTTACATCTTTCACAGTTGATGATCTGTTACTGTGTAGATTGTTCTCCTGGTTCTGCTCATTTCACTTTGCACCTTTCCAGGTTTTTTTTAAAAAACTGTCCCCTTCATCGTTTCTTATATTACAGTAGTATTTCATCACAATCACATACCACAACTTGTTCAAACATTCCCCAATTGATGGGTATCCCCTCAGTTTCCAATTCTTTGCCACTATAAAATAGCTCCTATAGATATTTTTGTACATATAAGTCCTTTTCCCAATTAATTTCTGAACACACTATCCTGTAAACAGTTTTACCAAATTAATAAAATCAGTTTATTCATACAGGAAAAGATATTTGTTAAGCATCTACTACAGTCAGAAATTGTGCTAAGCCCAAAAGATTCTCTAATAACGCGGTGCGCAAAGCATATAGAAGAATGATGGCCAGCTATGTCCCACCACCACCCAATTGCAAATAACACCTGCAGCAAGCAAGCACAAGTACCCCATTTTCTAAATGATGACCATGAGTCAATAAGGATAAGTTATTACGTTCAGGATACAGGAAGCTCCAGATCAAATATTCCAGTACATGTGAAATTATAAATGGATGGGTTATATATTCCTAAGTTCTTCACTAAGTAAGCTATTTTGAATAATGAACACATTTTCCCAAAGAAACAATGTTATGGTGGTTAGGTTTCTAAGCTGGTTCAAAAAGTCCTATTTAATCCATAACCTAGCTAAGATATTTACTATATACTAGAAATGAAAAAAAAATATAAACACCACTATACTATTCATTAAATCACAAAAAACTCATAATAAAAACTATGACTATTTTTAAAATTCAACCTGAATATTGGTGCTTGAGGAAAAGAAAATTTAATTAGAGGAGAAAGAGGTGAGTGACCTGTGAAGTTTCAAGAGATTTCTGGAATAGGTCAAGGGTTTAAACATCACAGCAGGGGTTCTTTAAACCTGACTTCACAAGAAAACTGAAGTGATAACCATAGGAGTTTCTCAGTCATGACAAAATTCTTTTTTGATTTATAAACAGAAGATAGATATTTCTCTTAGCTAATATGGTATGATCATTAGGTTATAGATGTAGAACTAAAAGGGCCCTAAGAAGACATCGAAGCATTATTCCTCTCCAGGACTTGGCCAGAGTTTTAAGAGTCTAAGGCAGGGTTAGGAACCCACGCCTCTGGACTTCTAGAAGGGAGTAAATGGCATAAAGAGCAGATGTTCCTACAGGGTCACAATTAAGCTAAGGGTAAAGGATGGGGCTTCATGTACAAACCATCCTTTGCAGCAACTCAATTTGGCTGCTTCTGCATAAGCAAAAACCGACTTTCACGGTCTCCTTCTGGATTTAAAAAAAAAAGGGGGGGGGGGACCAGAAAGCTTTGGACGCCGCCAACTACTGCAACTGGGCAGTGGTGGTTCTGTGTGTGTAAAAAGAAAAAGCTAAGATTACATATCAAGAGCCAGGATGCTCTTTGGGGTCCACATAATTGAATTTTCTATCTGAAACATGGCCCTTCAACCATCAAAATATATTTTAGCCATCTCTTTGAAGGAAACAGTTCTAAAATACTAAAAATTCTATGGTAAAAAAAGTACAAAAACAGAGTACAGGCATCGTCCTGTTCATGAACACTGTGGGGAAGGCCAGTTGTACAGGCTTCCCCACCTAAGAAGAGGCTAACAAGTCTTCCACCCAACCAGGTAGCACCAATTTGTTTCAAGCTGACCAACATGAGATCAAAGCCTCTTTGATCAGGAGGATCTATGCTCCCTGCCTCACTTCCTCTTTCAAAGCTTAAAGCTCAGTTAATTCAGTTTTTTTAATTGCCACACATTTTTTTTAAATTTCATAATAAACAAGGTGCGGTATTTTAACAAAAACTTTTAAATTGGAGAGAGATGATTAATTCAGGAAATCCTTTATTTTATGTGCTATTTTTTCCTTCATCTCTTTCTTCTGATTTGACAAGTCAGAAAAAGATAATGCGCAAGCATTTTTTAACGCTGGGCAATTCACAACACAAATCTCCATTTTCATAGCATCACATAATGTTAAAGACTAGAAGGATCATCTAGCCCAAACCTAACACAGACCAAAAAGGCCCATCAGCTAGGAGACACTCACAGTTCTAACTCCAAGGCCAGGGTGCTTTCCACAATGAAACATTTCTTCCTGCTTCTCACCTAAATATCAATCTGACCAATCTGATACAATGGAGATTTTAAGTGATTTCTCCAAACCTAGACTAGATGGAGAACCTCAAAACTTCAGTTTCTAGAGTTTGCTAAGATTTCTACAAAATCCTTCCTACAGACATTACCAAAGGAAATCTAGAATCAATGAGATCACAGATCCATTTGAGTATCCAAGTTGAGAGACACTAAGAACTGTATATTCACAGTACAGCCCAAGTATTAACAGTACTTGGAAAAAAAAAATATATATATATATATATATAAATAAAAAATAAAAGACCAAAATTAAGTTGTGGTTTTGGCTTTTGCTAATGTTGAAAACAGCCAGATGAGATTATAAAAATACTTTTTTAGCTTGGTCTACTCAAAGTAGCAGAAATGTAGACCCCAAGACAGAAGCTCTACACAACTCATGTCTATGTAACTGGTTAAAGCAGATGTGGTACTATAATTGGAAATTATCTTCTACCTTTCTCCATACTCTGCACCTCCCTCCCCCTCAAAATACTAGAGCAGATTTCTAGGTGTCGACCTAAAACCAACTTAACCAACTTAACCCTTCAGAGAGAATTTATATAAATTCAAAATTCAACAAATACTTACAGCTACCAACACCCTCCCACCTGTGCACAGCAATGAGATATAAAGACAAAAAAAGAAATCTTCCTTACCCTTAATGATCTGATTCTAAGGTTGGGTGTGGGGAAGCATTATACAAAGGATGGAGAGAAAGGGAGCATGACACAGCAGGTACTCAGATAAAATAAATACAAAGTAATTTTAGGAGGGAGAGTTCACGGACAACCTGGATGGGACACGTTTAAGAAAAGCTTCATTTTGGGGGACAGTTTCTGAGCAGAGCAATGAAAGCAGCTAAGATACACACAAGTGAAGCAGCACATCCCAAAGTGGGGGGGAAGATCCACACAAAAGGGAGAGACAGAATGTCCTGAGTGGTGAATAGTTAATAAGCCAATCCTAAGAGGGAAGCTTTTTAAAACAAATGAACCTCAAACTAAATACTCTTTTTATGAGATAGGAGGGTTCTTGGTGTTATTAGGTTCCTGGATACATCCCTCCCCGCTGTCCCCCAAACACCAGACTGCCAAAAACAAAATACCTGAACTAAGCAAAGTTTAGCAGCAGGTAGCCACACCCATTCTTCCAAGCTTATCCAAGAGCTCTGTAACCCTCAGGGCTTAGTAAAAACAAAGAGTTATTAAGTCATTACTTATAGAGTAGGTAGGTGGCTGTGACAACACAAAAAGCAAATTATGTGAATGTGGAGGGTCTCCAGGACTGCCCAGAAGACGACAGATGCACTACGGTGGTTCAAATGAGGCAGGCATGGGAGTGAAAAGGATACCAATTTGGGACTGGGAAACATGGATTCTAGAACGGGTCTCCAGTTAAAATCGCTGTGTGGCTTTAAGCAAGTCTCTTAACCTTTAGTTGCTGAGTGTTTCCTAAACTTCAAATTCCAAACCTGTTAATAACGGCTGGAATAGATGACTGCTAAAGTCACTTTCAACATCAAGGTTCTAAGGTTCTATGATCTGGTTCTCTAATATGGCTTCTTCACAGGCAGTTTGGCAATACCAAATGAAGGAAAACATTAATTTTCTCTTTTAGCAAAATATTCAGAAGACACTTATCAGAAGACTATCACCTGTATCTGAACTGCAGATTAGCTTATATTTGAATGTAACCATAAAAATAAAATACATTAAGTTTCTCTTTTGTAAAAGACCCTAAAACTAAGACATTGCTTAGTGTTTAAGACTCTGAAGAACTGAAAGAATTATAATCATATTCTGGAAATTAGAACTGTTACCCAGAATAGTAGCTTATAGGGGTAATTACCAAGAAATAATCATTCAAGTATCACGAAGTGACCTGACCAACACAAAAAAGCAATGGTGTGTCACATCACTGCGATGATGTGAAAT